AGGCCTGCCGCTTTTTTCCGGCTTGGGGATAAGCCGGAGAAAAGCGCCAGTCTAGACGTGATTCTCCGGAAAATAAGCCCTTTTCCGTAGGATTTCTTATTCCTACTTGAATAAGCAAAAGAATTAATGCCCACAAATCAGACATCAGACATCTTCACAAGGAAAAACCAGTTTCTTTTCATTTTAGCCAACCTGGGCATAGTCTTAATGATCTTACTACAATGTATTCCTCTGGTATATATGGTTGTGCCAATTCTCTTCCAGAATTTGATCTGAGGAAGTGGATCTGACCCACGAAAGCTCATCACCTATTAAACCATCTTGTTAGTCTTTAAATTGCTGCATAGTCCTTTCTTTTAGATACAGCCATGAAACCGTTACCTATGCACATAGTTTTTGCAACACCCTGAGTAGGATGTACCTCAGATAGGTCATTGGGCATTTTAGGCATCTAAGGGCATGTCTACACATCAAAGTTATTTCAAAATAACTCATTCCATGAGGAATAATGCCAATTTCAAAATTGCTTCTTGGAAATAAGTGTTGTGTAGACACTTATTTCGAAATAGGGGGCCTCCAGCCTTCCCAGGGTGCCCTGGTGGCCACTCTCTCTCCCTCCCCGGAGCCCTTCAAGGGGTAGACTCTAGCCACAGTTCCTGTTCCAGCTCCAAGCCTGCCAGCCCAGAGCCAGCAGTCACTGCCCCTGACCCAGTGGCCCCAAAACATGAGCCAGCAAGCCATTGGCAGCCAGCCCTTCACCGCTTCGCAGGAGGCTGACAGAGCACGGAGAAGGTGGACACCCAGGGTGGAGATCATGGACCTTACTCAGGTTGAGGGGGATGCCCCCAACATCCATGATCTCTACACTAGACGGAGGAACGCAGCTGTCTATGGCAGGATAGCTGCCAGCTGGGTCACCAAAGGTTACATGCAAACCCAGGAGCAGGTTCACATGAAAATCAAGTTAGTCTGGCGAGACCCCCAACCCTGAGCCCTGAGCTTCTCCCCCCCTTCTTCCCCTTGCTTCCCCCTTCCAGATCCCTCCTCCCAGGTTTCCTCTTCCCCTCTCTCACCCTCTCCCACCTCCTTTCTCCAGTCTCACCAGAGTTTCATTTCCTCTCCCCCCAGTTTTGTTAAATAAAGAGAGTTTCTGTTCATGAAAATACGTATATTTTATTTGACATCAGGAAGGGTGGTTGGGGATGGGTAAGTGGAAGGACATGAGAGAGGAATGAGGCACAAGCCGCTAGTGTGGGAGATCAGGGAGACTTTTAGTGCTCCTCAGGATGCAAGCTCTCCCTCAGGGCCTCCTGGATACTGACAGCCCCCTGATGGACCTTCCAGATAGCAGCTTGCAGAAAGTGCAGCCAGGCTCGCAGCAACACATCCATGAGAAGCACCAGCTGCCCAGGGGCAGCTCTGGCTCCATGTTGCAGAGTGCTGTGGTGTCCCAAGTGAGGGCAACCAGAGCATGCAGAGACAAAATGCTTTGCTGTCCCTCATCGAGATAGGCAAGCAAGCAGGGAAATCTGAGAACCAGCTGTCCAGAGAGGGTCCCTTTAAGCACAGGCCTTAGATATCCTCAGGCAGCAGCCACACAAAGTAACCTCTGACCTGATGCCCCACTGGACCTGGTTCCAGATGGCCTTAAATGCGATTCAGCATCCACTCAGTATGGACGAGCTATTTCGAAATAATAAAACTCTATTTTGAAATGCATTTGGTGTGTAGACACGCTATTTTGAAATATCTCATTTCAAAAAAACTATTTTGAAATGCGATATTTTGAAATAACGCTTTAGTGTCGACATACCCTGACACAATACATAATCAATTGGTAAATACTATTAGAATAACCAAGTCTTGCTTTGCTATAACATGGGCTTAGTAAGAACAATCGATGGGAGGGAATGGGCAGGATTGATCCACAGGTCCTGCTCATTGTAACTAGAAGTAATAAACCCTTCACGCCGGTGACCCAATGCATGGCGTCCTGATGGGTGAGAAGCAAAGGGACCATGACCTCCTACTGTAGGTGGACTAGGGGTGAAGTTCTAGTGAACTAGACATAATGATTGTAATATAATAGATCTTTTATTAATTGTTTTTGCTGTATTAATTGCTTTAGAATTTGTAGTATTTAAGGTTTAAATTGCATAGTAATTGTTTTTAAGGCGTGTAAAACTTAAAGAACTGTAATAATTGCTTAAGATTCCAATAAATATGGAAGTGGTTAAGTCTTTCTGGAGTGTCCTGGTTTCCCTCGGATCTAAAATAAATCAAACCACATGACAGTCCAACAACAGGTCTTTTGGCTGTTTGTAAATGATCTGTAGTGTAAGATAGTCATAGAAATCTTTGCTGAATTATATACTGCTTCTTTTCGACTAGTTGTCCGTCACTTTGATCAAGAACTCCTCCTGAATGGTAAGGCAAATCCTTTTGTAAATCAGGTTTAATAGTTACAAGGAAATGAAGAGATGGGCATAGACAATCATGAACAGGAAACGAGTCACAGTAAATCAACATTATTTAGCATTATCTATCTATCTATCTATCTATCTATCTATCTATCTATCTATCTATCTATCCCCACACACCCCCTCTATCTACCTATCTACCTATCTCCCCCTGCCTTTGCAGTCCTTTTTCATTGTGGAATGCTTTCAGTTTCCTGAGAAAATCCCACCTAAAAGATGATCTATTGGGTCTCCCCATAAAAGACAAAAGACAAAATATGGTAATGGGACACTGACCATCTGCCCAGACATCCCCACCTTAAGAAGACCTGGGTCAATGCAACAAACCCATCCACCCACTGACTCGTTAAAGAACCGCAACAACTAAAACAAGGAGACAGTAGCAAAAAAGCAAATGACTAGTGGACAGATACAGCAATATTTTTACTTCAAAGAGTAAGATTAACAGATTCTATGAGGTCCACTAAGGAATTGGCTATGGCTACCGATTTGGTCAAAGGTCCTCTGAGAGCATGGTGATAGATGCTACTATGCAACATTTTGCTAGCTAGGTAGAGAGATAGATGATAGATGGGTAGGTAGATTTTACAGCATCTCCATTGACTTGAGAGATGTTTAAATTTTTTATCAATGCAAATTCCCCTTTGTGCATAAAGTGATGTTTAAAGGTGATACTAAGGGCATCAGATAATTAGTTTGGAAAGAAACACAAGAGGACATTAAAATCAGAGGCAAAGGAGGGACATTTTCTGTGCCATGAATAACCTCTGCCCAATCAATTTCCACAGGGCAGCTTTGATCTCCTTGTTCCTCATGCTGTAGATGACCGGGTTCAGCATGGGAGGCACCACGGAATAGAAAATGTCCACCACGAGGTCCAGGCGAGATGTGGACGTGAAGATGGGTTTTAGGTAGGCGAACATGCCAGTCGAAAAAAACAAGGAGACCACAGCGAGGTGAGGGAGGCAGGTGGAGAAGGCTTTGTGCCGGCCCTGCTCCGAGGGGATTCTTAGCACCGCTCTGAAGATCTGAACATACGACACAATGATGAAAACAAAGCAGCTGACGATAAAGCAGGTACTAAATGCAATAACCCAAATTTCATTGCGGCCGGAGTCATGGCAGGCCAGCTTGAGTAGCTGGGGGATGTCACAGAAGAACTGATCCACCACGAGGCTACCACACAACGAGACGGCCAATGTGTTCCCAGTGTGCAGGGCAGAGTACAGAAAACCACTAAGCCAGGCACCAGCAGCCAAGTGGACACAGGCTTTCTGGTTCATCACACGCTCATAGTGCAGTGGGTGGCAGACGGCCACATATCGGTCGTAGGCCATTACCGTCAGTAGGATGACTTCAGTGGAAACAAGGAATATGAATAGAAAGACTTGGGTGAAGCATCCTGCATAAGAAATCGACTTGGTGTCCAAGAGGGAGTTGCTCATGGACTTGGGGACAGTGATGGAGATGGTGCCAAAGTCTATAATGGAGAGATTCACCAGGAAGAAGTACATGGGGGTTTGAAGCTGGTGATTGAGGGCTATTGCCATGGTGACGAGAAGATTCCCCACCAGGGCTGCCAGGTAAAACACCAGGAACAGCACAAAGTGCAGAACCTGAAGCTCCCGGACATCGGAGAACCCCCGGAGCAGGAACTCGGCCATGGTGCTGTGGTTGGACATTTTCTTCCTCAGCACGTCATGTGATGGCTGCGGAGCGGAGGTAACGGGCAGGGGCAGGGTTCGAGTGCCAGAGGAATACTGGGAGGGGTGAGCTCTGACAATCAAATCCTGAGCAGACAAGGCAAGGGAAATAAAATCTGTTCTGTAGGAGAGAGAGAGAGAGAGAGAGAGAGAGAGACGCTTTAGAGCCACCAGCCAAGCTCATCCACCTTCCCCCCTTCACATCCTGTGACTAACGGGACAGCAGCCACCGCTTACATGGAGACTTCTAGGATCCCTTATTGCACTAGTGTGAATTAGCGTCACTCCCTTAGACTCAATGGGACAGGATCACTTTATGTCTGGGCTGTGAGGGTCAGTGCCTGGCAGGAGACTTAGATTGTGTTTTTGGCTTTGCCATGAACCAGTCACTTCTCTTGCCCGTACCTCAGTTTCTCCTCCTCTCCTTTCCCTGACTTGTTGTTCATGAGCTCTTTGGGGGTTGGGCAGTGTCTCTTCATGCAGACATTCTGTGCATCCATTTCCAGCAGATCTGGGATCTCATTGACCCCCTGAGGGTCTGTCTACCCTACAGAGAGGTTCTAGGAGCTGTCATCTCTGCTGGTCATGTAGTTTTGACATCCTGCAGCTGTGTCTTCCAAAATGAATTAAAAATGGACATCATAGAATGGCAGGGTATGAAATGACATTGTGGAGGGACAATATTAAAGTTATTAACATTGAAAGTTGATTTCCTACTAGGCACTGCTCAAAAATCTGCTGCTTGAAGTGTTCAGGTAACAGGGACTTGGGATCTTCAGTCTTCTGTCTATCCCCATACACCCCCACAAACCTATTCTCTCTCTCTCTCTCCCCTCCCCTCTCTCTTTCTCCATACACCCCCTCTATCTATCTATCTGTCTGACATTTTCCATTTTCAGCACAAAATATTCAATGCTCTGATCCCAAACCACCCTAATTTGGGGATTTTGGGAAACATTCTTAAAGAACATAACCATTTGTAATCGATAAAAACACAAAATCTAACAGACTCGATGTGATTCTTTGCATTGGTTGTTCAAATTGCATTTCAGATGTATCATCTCAAGTGTGCCCTGCACTTCCACACGCCAACATACGTCGTTCAAAGAGCAAACTTATGGGGTACCTCTGCGGATGGGTTCCGGCAACTTTTGATGCATTTGATCCTCTGGTGCTGGCAATTACTGGGCACCCTCTGGCTCCGTGCCCAACTGTCTCTCATTCGATCTCTCGCCTGCTCCCATCACTGTGTTGTCCTGTTGCTTGGTGTTTCCAGAGATGGATGCTCCCTGCTCCACTCAGCTGCCAGGCTTGGCTGAGAGGTGGGGGACCACACGCGAGTGAAAGCCATTTTTGACACTAGAGTGAATCCTGGCTCATTTTGGCTGCAGTCATAGGCTGGCAGTCCCTGCTCTGCGGCTAAGTACCTGACTCCAGTCTCCAGGGCTGCATGCCCAGATCTGATCCCACCTCCGGAGCCTATGGCCTTGCCCTGCTGCCCCTGGCCCCAGAGGAGAACAGCCCCAACCTAGTCTCCCCAAAAGGACTCGTGTGTAATAACAGGTTTGGCCAAGTGATTTGCCAAATCCAGCCTTGCTTTCCAGCACTGACATGTACCCTATGTTAGCTCAGAGCAGAGCTGGCATGGGACAGCTAGCGCCTTTCATTAACTCCCCTTCCTTAACCAATGGGGGAGCAGAGATGTTTGGTCTCCTGCATTGCACCATGGGACACCCACAGCTCCAGCATCCCCATGTGTGTGAGGCTGCTCACTGGGAGGTGCCTGGATCCAGAGGGCACAAAGGAACAGTCCTGTCTGCGGGTGGTGTAGATTGACCCTACCCTGCTGGTCACACAGTGGCCAGGGCTACTCCTGGCAGCCAATGGATGGCTGATTTGCTGTCAGTGGAGTCCTGGATGATAGGCCCCCAAGTAGGGGCTGGCCTGTCACAGTGGACGTTGTTGGTGTGGGACTGGGGATGTGACTAGACGGCCCTATTGGGGTGTGGAACGGGGTGGGGTGTGATCATTGACTGAAGCTCCAATGGTTTCTCCTGTTGACCACCCCCTCTCTGTGTGGGGCCTGTCCAGGGCTGAGAACCCTGACTGGAGGTGCAGGTTGCTTGGGAGAGGTTGGATTGGAAATGGCCTCATGTGGACGATGGAGCCACAACATGCAGATGTTCCAAAGATGGTGACCTGCACATGACCAGCATTGGGCCAATCAGCTGATCAGTCATTGGTGGGGAACCTCTGGCATGCCAGTTGCATGAGGTTCTTTAGGGCTAGATGCCAGATTTTGTGTTTACTTGAATGTCTGCTGGCACAGAGCCCTTCAGTTCCCAGTGGTCATTGTGTGTCATACCTGGCCAATGAGAGTTGCAGGAATTGGTGGTCAGGCCTGTTCCACTTTCTGCTGCTCCCATTGGCTTGGAAAGGGGAACTGTGGCTTCTCGGTGTCAATGGCGGTCATGCCTGTGGACCACAGGTAAACAAGCCATCAGGCATCCCCAGTAAGTGGACCAGTGAGCCGACAATCCTCCAGCCCTGCAACTCTGTTCTGCTTCTCAGGCCTGTGTTTCAACAACACTCTAGTTATAACTTTCATATGTTAAGTCACCTCTGCCACTTCCTGGCCTTGGGAAGTCACCAGAGGGATACTCAGAGTGAGTGTCCCCCGAGGCTGGTGACCTGCTGAAGAATCCCACACAAACCCTTGGAAAGGTGCTAATTACAAATAGATGTTCCACTCAGGAGGATGGGAGATTTCTCAGCAATCCCGGCTCCAGTGCACAGATCTCTGCCCACCCAGGCTTCTGTGGTCCCCCTAGAGTCCTGCACTGAGAGACCAGCCTCCTTTCTCCTGCAGCAATTTGACATCATTTCCAGCCCCAGTCTCAGGGGCCATTCTAAGGAACCAGTTGGCCTTGGCCTCTGGTCGCCCTCGGTTTCCGGACCCAGGACAGTCTGTAAGGCCAGGCTGCCTTAGACCCATGGACTCGAGGCTCCCAGGCTCCCAGATCCATGGCATGGAACTCCTCAGTGGCCTGATGTGAGCTAGTGGATGTGGGGCTTGCGGGCTGCAGAGATGGGAGCTGGGTTCCTATTCGAGGCAGGGACTCTCACCTGTGAAACAGGATCCAAGGATGATGAATAGAATAATTTCCAGGAGTAGGAACTTCCTTCGGGGGTTCAAAATGTGTCCCCGGGGCGGGGTGGCGTGGAGATGGGAAGCGTCTCTCCAAAGCAGCCAGAGGGGAGGCCTGGCTGGAGCAGCCAGCACTGCAGAGGAGGAACAGAACCCACCAGAGGGGTTAGAAGCCCAGGGTGGGGCGTAATGGGCTAGTGAGCCAGAGGAGAGGCAGCCCAACAATTGGAGCCTTGAGACTGCTCTGATTCGGTGTTTATGAACCAGTCCCCAGCTGAGGTGAATGATTCAAGTGCACGAGATATAGCAGCTGGTTTTAACAGGAGGAAACACTATGTCAGAGGTGGGATCTGACACCAGTTCCGGCCTGTCTCTAACCCGAATTCCACAAAGGGCAAGTTTAGCTTTAAACCTTCAAAGAAACTGCTGAGGTGTGTAGCTCAGCCCAGGGCAAAGTGGTTCACCCGCTCAGGGTGCGAGTAAAACACTCCAAGGAAGGTGAGTGATCGGCTAACAACCATGAGCTCTCACAGTGGGTGTCTCACAGCTCAGTTCCCCAACCTGACACTCCAAGTGCACAGATGGGGAGCCAGCTAGTAGAATACACTCAGTAAAGCCTGTCTGGGTATGTCTACACTACCCCCCTAGTTCGAACTAGGGGGGGTAATGTAGTCATACGGAGTTGCAAATGAAGCCCAGGATTTGAATTTTCCGGGCTTCATTTGCATAAAGCCAGCCAGCACCATTTTTAAATGCCGGCTAGGTCGGACCCTGTGCCGTGTGTAGCCGCGCGGCATGGGGTCCGACCTAGCCGGCATTTAAAAATGGCGCCGGCCAGCTTTATGCAAATGAAGCCCGGGAAATTCAAATCCCGGGCTTCATTTGCAACTCCGTATGACTACATTACCCCCCATAGTTCGAACTAGGGGGGTAGTGTAGACATACCCTCTCTGACACTCCCAGACACAAACTCTTGCTGCCACTGTCACAAATCATGGGTAGTGTGAATGGTTGGCATGAGTGAATTAACAGCAAGTGAGCTGAAGAGAGGCCACACTACGGCTTGAGCCAGTTCCCCGGAGGATTATGGACTTGTTTACAACTTTGAGAAGAAGGAGTGTGTGAAATAAAAACTGTGTATGTATGCTGAGAAGACAAAATGATACAGAAGGAGGCAACATTCTCAGATAAGGAGTAAAAAGGGAGAGACCTACGCTACATCTAGACTACAAGACGCCACCCAAGTGAATAAAAGAAAATATAAAATAAGCCCTTTTCCAGGGAAGAGATCACTTGGGAATCCTCTCCCTAAGGCAAAGTTCTCCCCTCTGCCCCAACATCCTTTTTCGTGGATTTGGGAAAGCAAACAGAATGAATGCACAGAGAACAATGGGCTCTGCCCAGGTAACTAGACACCTAAATTTAAGGACACAACAATAAATCAATACTGGTTAATCAAAACAAAAAAGAAAACACTTTTCTTATCAAACAAAAACAACTGTTGCAAGCATAGTACATGACTAGGTGTTAAATAGCGATAAAGTGACACAGACTCAAGGAAAATCCCTGGGCTGTAATCCTTAGTTACAAAAAAGAAAAACAATTAACCAGCTCAGACATGATTTCCAAACTCCTAAACCAGGAAAACAATAAAAGCTGATGGACTGTCTAAACTTTTCCCTACTTACACATTTCAAGAAGTCCATTCGTGGGAGAGCCTGTCTCCCACCATACCTGGAAAAAACTACTCTGATCTCAAACAAAGAAGAGAGAAAGAAAATTCCTTCTCTCTTAGTTTGAAATTCCTATCTGCATTTCATTGGCTGAATGTCCAAAACCCCTTCCATGAGGTGCTTCTCTAAGTTGCTTAACCCTTTCCTCACTCTCCAGCCAAGTCAGATTCTCCTTAGCAGTTCCTATTTATGACAGGGTGTGACTTCTCATTCTCAATAGAGCTCTGACAGGGGTGGGCAACCTGCCCGTAAGGAATGCAGGCAGCCCACTGGATTCTGTGTGTAGCCCATAAACCATTCTGTGACTATTGCTCATGTGCAGTGTTGCCAGATTCCACTGCTTTCCATCTGGGTAAGTTTGCCCTACCAGTGTGACTCGTGTGATGTATACATTAAGCAGGAGCACACCCACAAGAGCACACCCTCTCGTGTGGCCCATGCACTAGCCATGGTTGCATATAGCTGAGCTATGAGAACGTAAACCAACAGAGCATGAACATCACACTTTGTATGGAACCTGGGTGTGAATCTTCTCTTTATCCACCCCAGGAGGTGCGGCAAAGAATTGAAAAATGCAGCCAGTCAAAACAAATCCAACATCATGTTTTTGGGATGAGTAGTTTGGATATATCAATAAGAGAGTCACAGAAATTGGTTGGTCATAATAATTATGATAATTAAGAGGAATTGAAGAGATGGGCATAGAAAATTATGATAATTATGGTAATAATAAGGAAATGAAACAATGGGCATAGACAATCATGAACAGGAAATGAGTCACATGTCTCTTCTGCAATCTTTTATGATTGTGGAAAGAAAACTTTCAGTTTCCTGTGAAAACCCAATCAAAGAGATGGGATATCGGCATCCCCATAAAAGTCAAAATACCAACTATCCTGTAGAGATGGACACTGACCATCTCCCCAGACATTCCCACATTAAAAAGACCTGGATCAAAACAAAAAACCCACCTGCCCACTAAGTCGTTAAAAAACCGCAACAATAAAAACAAGGAGACAGAAGCAAAAAAAGCAAATGGCTACTGCACAGATACTGCTTTTCTTTTAATTTTCAAAAATAAGAATGAGACACACCAAGAGGTCCACTAAAGATTTCCTTATGACTGTCGATTTTGTGGAAGGTTTTCAGATACCATAGTTATAGATAGATAGATAGATAGATAGATAGATATTTACAGTAGCTTTGACTTAAGTGTTGCTCCCATTTTCACCAATGCAAATTCCCCTTGGTGTATAAAGTGATGTTTTAAAGTCATCAGTTAATTCGTTTGAAAAGAAACGCAAGAGGACATTCAAATCAGAGGTGTAAGAGGGATATTGTATTTGCCATGAATAACCTCTGTGCAGTCAATTTCCACAGGGCAGCTTTGATCTCCTTGTTCCTCATGCTGTAGATGACGGGGTTCAGCACAGGAGGCACCACAGAATAGAAAACGTCCAACGCGAGGTCCAGGCGGGATGGAGACCTGAAGGTGGGTTTCAGGTAGGCAAAGACACCGGTGGAAAAAAACAAGGAGATGACAGTGAGGTGGGGGAAGCAGGTGGAGAAGGCTTTGTGCCGGCCCTGCTCCAAGGGGATTCTCAGCACCGCTCTGAAGATCTGAACATATGACACAATGATGAAAACAAAGCAGCTGACAATTAAGCAGGCACTAAAGACAATAACCCCAATTTCACTGCGGTCAGAATCAGGGCAGGCCAGCTTGAGCAGCTGGGGGATGTCACAGAAGAAATGATCCACCACGTGGCCACCACACAACAAGATAGCCAATGTGCTCCCGGTGTGCAAGGCAGAGAAGAGCAAACTAGTGACCCAGGCGCTGGCAGCCATGTGGACGCAGGCTCTCCAGTTCATCACTCGCTCATAGTGCAGCGGGTGGCAGATGGCCACGTACCGGTCGAAGGCCATGACGGTCAGTATGATGACTTCAGCAGAACCAAAGAGCATGAATAGAAAGACTTGGGTGAAGCATCCCACGTAAGAAATCGATTTGGTATCTAGGAGGGAGTTGGCCATGGACTTGGGGACTGTGACGGAGATGGAGCCAAGGTCTAGGATGGACAGATTCACCAGGAAGAAGTACATGGGGGTGTGAAGCTGCTGACTGAGGGCTATCAACATGGTGATGAGAAGATTCCCCACCAGAGCTGCAAGGTAAAGTACCAGGAACAGCACAAAGTGCAGAATCTGCAGCTCCCGGACATCAGAGAATCCCCGGAGAATAAACTCAGTCACGATGGTTCGATTGGACATTTTCTTCCTAAGTTCACAGAGTGGTGGCTGCGGAAGGAAGGACACAGACAGGGGAGGGGATTAGAATAATACATGGATTGGCCCTGATTCCCCTCAGCAATCTCTCATAGAATCATAGAGCTGGAAGAGACCTCAGGAGGTCATCAAGATTAAGTTGGTTCTGTCTTGGGCGGCGGCAGAGGGAAGGAGACGGGCAGGGTCAGGGTTCGAGTGTCAGAGGGAGCCACCCTGATTCCCAGTTCACTAATATCTCACAATCCCAACATCAAACGTACACAGACTCTGTCACTTCTATTGACAACAAGGGGTCGGCGCCCCGAGCGCAATCAGACTCTTAGCGAGACAAGGCAGGGAAGTAACACCTGTTACATAGGTGAGAGAGACAAACTTTCGTGCCACCAGGCAACCTCCCCCACCTCCTCTTCTTCACACACTGGAACTGACAGGACCCAACCACCACTGACCCGGAGACTTCTCGGGTGCGTTATCGCACTTCTGTGAACTGGGGTCACTCCCTTCCACTCAGGGTGTCTAGTCTACAGGGTTTTGTTGACAAAACTATACCTGCATCTACACCAGTGTTTCTCAACCTTTTTTTGCTCATGGCCCCTTTCTGAGCCTCATTCATCATACTCCTGGCAGTTAAGTTTGCACCCCCCTCAGAAACTTACTGTGGCCCCCTAACGTTCTGTTTTTTTTCCATGTGGCCTCCTAGAAGTAAGTCGTGGCCCCCTGGGGAGCCATATGGCCCACGTTGAGAACCATGGTCCACGTTGAGAACCTCTGGTCTACACTACCGCCGAGTTCTGTCAACATAACGTTGATAGAACTCGGCAGTTTCGTCAACGGCGGCAAACCTCATTCTATGTGGAATAATGCCTTTTGTTGACAGAGTTCTGTGACAGAAGGCGTCATTGCATCTACACTGTCCTTTGTGTGTACACTCTCATGTTGACAAAGCGGTGTTATTGGCTGAAATGTGTGAAAGATGGGAACAAATTACAGCCCAAGCCTTCATATCGAGCACCGAAGTTCCCTCGTCTCTGTCAAGCAACAAGGGAAACACTAGGGCAGGAACCTCAACCACTAGGATTCCAAGTCAGACTGATTCCCATGTTCTTGGGCGATATGACATGTTCCCCGGGCATCCCAAATCCCAGCTTGTTCCTAGGGATTCCTCCCCCAGCTTTGCACAGAGCTGACAGCTGTCCCATGGATTTACCACACCCATCCCAGCTCCAGTCCCATCTCCGGGGCATGATGGGCAAATACCATCCCTCAGTTACTGCTAGGTGGTACCTTTCCCCTCTGTGACTTTACATCTGGGCTGTGAGGGTTTGTGTCTGGCAGGAAGCTTGGGTTGTGTTCTTGGCTCTGCCGTGGACCTGCTGTGGGACTTTGGATCAGTCACTTCCCCGTCCCGTGCCTCAGTTTCTCCTCCTCTCCTTTCCC